GAACACTACATCAAAAACTAATGATGTAATATATGATGATTAACATAACAATAAAAAAATTTTTTTAATGTGTATACCCTTTTGACATACTGATTTTATATCTAGAAATCAATTGTAATAAAATGACTGGAGATATGAGTAAAGAGTTATCAACAGATTCTTATCTATTTATAATTTACAATAGCAAAAGAGTTCTAAATAACCTAAATATTTGAGGAGAGTGGCAGAAGCTGCTAACTGCTTATTAAAGTACACTTCACCTCATCTTTCTAGGTAGACAAACATTTCCCAATCTCCTTTGCAGTTAGATATGGCCATGTGACTGAGTTCAAGCCAAGAGAATGCAAGCAGAAGTGACGTGCACCATTTCCAGGCCTGCCTCACATGCATTCCTCCAAACTGCTTTCCCCTTGTGGCTGGGACATGGAGATGACCCCAAAAGTGAGTTTGGGAGCCATGTGGTAGAGATATTAGAGCTTCAGATAGCTCAAGGCCCTGAATGGCCACCCTATCAACCTGCTGACCTAGTCATATGGTTACAAGAACAAGAAATAAACTTCTATTATACATTTTGTATAAGCCATAAGGCTTTGGTTAACATTTTCCTCCAGAATCCAGAGCAGATCCTTAAACTGTTTCTCACCCTACTTTGGTAGAAAATGTATAATTGCTTTTGACAATTAGTTACTTGTTTTCCGCTCTTGAAAACACAAGAGTGGGACTGAAAATGGGGTGGCCCTTTGTCCTGGAAACTGACAATCAGATTCTATTTCTTTCCCTTGAGTAGGATTTCCATTTTCTAAACCTGATATCATCTCCCAGTTGGAACAAGCAGGAAACCCATGGATGCAGGAGAGAGAAGTGCTAAGAAGCAGCTGCACACGTAAGTAAGAACAAGGCAGACAACATCTTTTGAAATATGAGTTAGGGGTTCTTCCCCAAATCCTCCAGGCCTGTAGAAATTTTGGGCCATTATACATTTTGGGTCTATCAGTTACACCAGTTACAAGTTAGCCAAGCCTAATTAATTCAGAAACTAACACCTTGAAGTAGAAGATATCATAACAAACACCTAAAATATACCAGGGGCATTGGCTTGACATTCAGGCAGCAAACGTCAAAGAAATGGGTAATTAAGGCTGGAATGATGTAGACTCTTGATCTACACTGGCAAAGTAATTAGGAACTGGGAAGGCAGACCAAAAGTTCACTGGGCCTGTAGCTCTGGGGGAATAAGGTGGAAAGAGCCAAAATGCTAGCTTGTGCAGGATGCTTCTGGATATATTTGGCAAAGAAAGAGTTGAGCTCAGGAAGGAATTTACCAATTTTCAAGCTAAAATAAAATGGAATACAGAGTACAGAAATTTAGGGCTTCACATGGTTGGAAAAGCAAACTGTTTCTAGATCTCATACAACAGGAAGTCTAAAAAAGGCTTTGAACAACAAAGGCCCATTGAAACTTCTCAGCTAAACAAAGTGACTTAGTCCTATAAAAAAGATCAAGTTAAGGATATGGCGTTCCCATCCAAGCCTATTGTTCGGCAAACTTAAGCTTATCTTCATTAAGAAAGACATGGTTAAAAAAAAAAAGAAAAAAGAAAGAGACATGGTAAGTAAGAAACTGCAAAATATACCAAGCTTGAGACTTATATCCAGGAAAGAACTTTGGGTGTGATTATTAGTACATGGCAAACAGATCAGAAGCTTCCTAAATTTTTATAGGACAACATATCCAAGATTTCTTTTTTTTTTTTTTTAAGATTTTATTTATTTATTTGACAGAGAGAGACACAGCGAGAGAGGGAACACAAGCAGGGGGAGTGGGAGAGGGAGAAGCAGGCCTCCTGCGGAACAGGGAGCCCGATGTGGGGCTCGATCCCAGGACCCTGGGATCACGACCTGAGCCGAAGGCAGACACTTAACTGACTGAGCCACCCAGGTGCCCCTATATCCAAGATTTCAATGTACTTTGTACTTCTTTTTTTCCTGTCTCAGAAGAAGCAGTACCTTTCCTCAATTCTAAGCCATTTATGTCACTGACTTCCCAAATACATCTTCTCAAAAATCTACTCATCTGGGGCACCTGGGTGGCTCAGTCGGTTAAGTGTTTACTCTTGATCTTAGGGTCATGAGATTGAGCCCCGTGCTGGGCTCTGCGCTCGAGCACAGAGTCTGCTCAAGATTGTCTCTCCCTCTCCCTCTGCCCATCACCTTGCTCTCTCTCTTAAATAAGAAAATAAATACAATCTTTAAAAAAAAATCTACTCATCCTTCAGGGCCTACTTCAAATCTCACTGCTACTATTAGCCCGGGGCTCCTTAAAAGGGCTTAAAGATGCTGGCTGAATGAATAAAGCTTTCCCAAATCTCTCTCAGCCAGACACGCTCACTCTCCTCTGAAACCATACAACATTTTCCCTAAAACACTTTATTAAGTAGGCCGTCAGTAAATTTGCTGATTTGTGTCACACGGATTTGTGTGCGGGTCTTTTCTCCCCATGGAGAACATTCTAAGCAGATGGATACAAAAGATATCTCATGTGCCTTTGCTGATCTATGCCAAATGCCTCAAGTGGACAAAGGGAGCCTGACTCTCTCCCAACAATGCTCTCGGTCCTCTGTCCTCTATTGCCCAACTGATGGGAGAGACTGCCAAGCCCCATCTTCACTGCTACTTCCACACAATAAGGAACCCCCAGTCACCATGTTGTTGTTGGTCCACCCCACCCTCTTTATCCTATCTTTGAAAACCGCTGATGCTAATAGGGCTGACGAGCTTCATGCGATGAGAGAGAAATTTATTCACTTCAGGAATTAAGATGAGATTTTAGGGATGAGAGGAAAATCCCCAACTCACCTGGGATTTTGCTGCCTGAAGAAGAGCAGCCATATTCTCCTCCTGAAGATACCCCTTTTGGAAAAGGGCAGACTCCCTAGATGGCAGAACTGGAAGGGAAGAATAATAAAGGAATCCAGTTTATTAGTATGTGTCTCAAACCTATTATATTAGAAATAGCCACTTACGACAAAAAGTGCATCTGACCTTGGCTATCATATGGTTGGAAGGATCCCACAGACACCTACGTAATGAGGCTTCCAAGATAACCTCAGGGATGATTCTCTGTATGATCATTAACTGGGTTCAGGATAAGCCTGAGCTTGTGCTCTGAGAATGAGGATCCCTGTGACAACAGCAACAAAAACCCATATACTGTTAGGGTTGGCAGGAAGCTTCCAGACTCCTTTATTCACAAATGGAGAAACTTTCCAACTTCATAGAACGAGAAAAAGGAGCCACAGAGGCAACAGTGCCCAACCTGGAAGCACCAGCCACCAGATCATGAGTATTCTAGGCCCCTGCTAAGTTTGCAGCCATCCTAGGTTCATTGCACCACACACGTGATCCACTAACTCATAGTCTGTCATCTCGTCCTCCCCTGCATCCCAAGCAACCAACATAGTATTCCTGGTGGCAGGAGGCCCAAAGTGTTGAGAATGAATTCATGATCCCCCAAATCCTTTGACTCCATGCCCATCGAGCAACGTTCTGCTCACAATTTCCCTTCCCACTTTGATTTTTTGCCTACTGGGAAAAAACCGATAATACTAACTTTGTGCCTTCTTTGAACTTATCTTTGGGTGGCAGGGCTATATGTCATTTATTTTATTCTATTGCCTTCCTACTATTCTAGTTTATTCTTTCTTTAACTCTCACTCTCCCCCATTACCAAAAAGCAATACTTAAAGCCCCTTGTCGGGAGTGCCTGAGTGGCTCAGTCAGTTAAGCGTCAGACTCTTGATTTAGGCTCAGCTCATCATCTCAGAGTCGTGGGACTAGGCCCCACATCGGGCTCCCTGCTCAGCGGGGAGTCTGCTGGAGATTCTCTCCCTCCCTTTCCCTCTCTCCCTGACCCTCCCTGCGCACTCACACACTCTCTAATAAATAAATCTTTTTATTAAAAAAATTCTATAGGATTTTCTGTCTATCCCTTGTTTTATGAAAACAAAAGGCATCATCAGTGTATGTGGTCATACCCCAAGCCCCTAGTTCCCCACAGGATGCCTGTCCGCTCCTTGTACTGAACTCTGACAATCAGTGAAGGATGGGGTAGAGACGGGAACTTGTAAGTTTCAGGACCCTGAGAAATCAGAGGGGCTGAGGGCAGGATGTCCCAGAAAACCAAACAGACTGAAGCTACACCGTGGAAACCCCTTCTCATCTGGGCCATCCTTTTGTATCTCCTTAAGAAAGAATACTTCCTAAAAGAGGTTGAAAGGTGGGGCGCCTGGGTGGCTCAGTCGTTAAGTGTCTGCCTTCGGCTCAGGTCATGATCCCAGGATCCTGGGATCGAGCCCCGCATCGGGCTTCCTGCTCAGTGGGAAGCCTGCTTCTCCCTCTCCCACTCCCCCTGCTTGTGTTCCCTCTCTTGCTATGTCTCTCTGTGTCAAATAAATAAAATCTTTTCTAAAAAAAGAGAGAGATTGAAAGGAAGTCAGGAGCAGTTCTCAATCCTGCCAGAATTGGGCAGTGGACCCTGCAGATGCAGGCCCCAGCTCTGCACTTGACCTCTTCCATGTGCTAGAGTGCCAGATCAAATCCTCTGCTTCTCCATGTCCATTTCCTCTTATCTATCCAAGGAGTCTGACTTGCCCCCTCTCATTCTTTGGAGAGGCATCCAGTATAACAGAGTATGGAGAGTGAGATGTCTTACTTTTTAGAGCTTCAAGTAAAAAGGGAATTATATCAGTAAAGTTACTACTACTTATGGAGCACTCACCATGTACCAGATGCTTTCCATAAATCACTTGTTACAAATGAGGAAATTGATGACTTGCTCAAGGTCTCAGAGCTGCCCACACACATTTGACAAGGCTGCTGTAAAGAAAAACTAAAATGAGATTACTGTGTGCACACTGTAGGTGCCCAACTAACAGCAGAAGCTTCTCTTACTTGTGTTTCTTACCTCTGTTCTGGAGTTTGTGGCTCTGATCCTCCATAACCACAGTCTTTGCACCATTTGGGTAAAGCAACTTCACCCAAATCCTCCATGTCTCTTCCTGGGAATTACCAGCATTCTCCCAGAAACTCTAGGAAGAGATTCTGGATTGAATTATTCTTTTTCATTGTATTTCGTCTTTCATTCTCTGAGACCCTACCCATAACAGTGATGGGGGGGTGGTGTCTGAAGCAGTATATATTGAGCTAAGACTAAAGTCAAGAAGTTCAGCAGTCACTCAGGCTTCAGGAAGCCCTATTCACAGGGAAGTCACAATATAACCTTTCCCCCAGGGCCCTGCAGAGACAGACACCCGGGAACATAGATAATCACAGACGACAGGTAAAGATACTGTTACCAACATGCCTGAAGGATACACAAGTGCAGGCCATGGTGGCAAGTGCCCCGCTGGGAGTGAAGGGACCTGGGTTCTCATTTCTATGTACCAGATGGCTAAGTGACCCAAAACAAGTAACTTTTCCTCCCTGGGTTCCAGTTGCTTTTTATGTACAAATGGGGAGGTGGATACCTACTATTCATAATGGCTACCACTGATTGAGCCCTTACTTAGCGCCTGGCACTGTGTCAACTGTTTCATACCAAATTTCCACTGAATCCTCACAATCACCACGTAAGGTAGGGACAATAAATTTCACTCGACAGGTAAGGAACAGGAGAGGCAAACTTCAGTAACTTGCCTACGGTCACATCACTGAACAATAATCGCTTTCTCGAGACGTAGACAAATGGATCTCTTACATTCACGCCCTCCCGCGTCAACATCGTCTGAGTCTATACAATGGATCCACCACGCTGTGGGTTGCAAGGGCACAAGGGCAGACGCGCGTTGGTCTCTGAGCTGGGAGCATGGACAGCTTTGGGCCCTACCTGCCTCACCTTCCAGCCAAGCGCTTCAGGCTGTGCGGGGCCTCAGCAAAGGACCTGGACGTGTCTCAGACTTAAACACACGTACACACCACCATCACGTACACATAAAACCCAGAACAGAGGGGCAGGGTCAAGGTGGCCGAGCCCTGACAGACAGCTCCCCAGCTCCAGCAGGAGGGATTACGATCAGGTCAGCGGGCCCAGGGAGATCCCCAGTGGGACGCGCGACCAGACCCCCAAGCCTGACAATCCCCTGCTGGACACACACCCCCGTCCAACGTCTGCTCCTGCCGGGTTCAGACACCGAGCTGATCACTGTAGGTAGGACCACAAGAACAGACTAGCCGCGAGCCGAGCGCGTCCAGACAAAGGAGCCGGAAGCGGAAGTGCGCGCCGAGGCTCCTGGGAAATGTAGTCCAACCCTGCCCGCCGCCTGGGCTCGGAAAAGCCCCCCGCTCGGCTGAGTTGAAACGCGGCCCTGACCTTCCAGACTCCCACTTGTTCTGCCCTCAGGGGCAAGCCCTCGCGTGGCCCAAAACGGAGAGGTTAACGTTAGCAGCCCAGCGAAAGTGGACAGGAACCTTTGGAGGCGTTTACTAAACCATCAAGGACTGTCTAGAGTGTTCGGGGGAGGGTGCGGTTGGGGCCTGGAGAGCAGAGGTCTCCTTCCATGAGCTGGTCCCTCTGGTCACTCTTCATAGAATAAGCGGAGCTGCAGCACTTCTTCAGAAAGCCCAACACGACAGTCCCACGCTTGAGGTTCCGCATCTTTCCAGGAATCCTGTCGGATGCCCTGTGCTCGCACATTCTGGGGCAGACCTTCAGTGGTTCCCAGGCTCCAGCACCCTCAGCCCAGAGCCCGGGGACTTTGACGGCCTTTTGGGTTCCTGTCACCGAAGTGTAGTATTCTGAGACGCGGAGAGGTGGAGCCCTCTCCGGGCGAGGAACACATCTGCTGTATCACTGTTCTTAGCACCTTGATGTTTACAGTCTCAGTCCAAAAGAGTGCCGCATTGTTCCTATTATTTCCTGTTGGCTAGCCATTCCCATACGCATGACAGTCCTCCAGATCTCTTAGAGACTGATTTTATACCTATCTAGGTTCAGTTAATTTAGCCTTTTGGGGGTACATTCTACAGCCAACTCTCCATGATGGGCTCATCCGAATGTACTTCTACTCGGTTCTACTGCGACAAGACGGAAGACAGTTGAGTTGTTGGTGTCTTCTTTATCACTTCCAGAAGCAGGAGGTGTTGAGAGGGTGCATACTCCCAACTTCTAGGACAAACCCCCAGGCTCACCACCACCTCTACCCCCCACCCCACCCCTGAGGAGGAGAACCTCTATATAAATCCAGCCTATCCAATCTTCATACCTGTGCCCTGGATCCTGCCTTTCTAAGCACTTTTCTACCCGGAATGCATTGGGCATCACAAAAATGCTGCTGAAAAGAAAGCAAACCCCTCCAATGTGATCCTTATGCCGGGATTTCAGAAGGAATGCTGAGGTCTCTAGAGTTTCAGTAGGGAAAACCCAACAAACGCTCTACCAGCTGGACTCCCCCTTTTCCACACTACCCATCCCCCAAATCCCATAACCCCCAGTAGTCTGATGGTTTCTTTTAAATGTGTAAGGTGATAGATACAACAAGAATGGCAAATTGTTGATAGTTATTGACATTGGGTGATAGATAAATGAGCGTTCATTATGGTATAACCTCAACTTTTGTGTGTTTCAAATTGCCATAAAGTAAATTTTAACAATGCAAATTAACTTAAAAAATAAAGCAGATTAGATCATCTGTCAGCTATGCTCAGCATTTTTGGTTGGCTTCCCACTGTAGAATAAAATCTGAAGTTTATACTATTAAGGGTTCTTTTTTTTTTTAAGATTTTATTTATTTATTTGACAGACACAGAGAGAGAGCACAAGTAGGCAGAGCAGCAGGCAGAGGGAGAAGCAGGCTCCCTTGTGGGCAGAAAGCCTGATGCAGGACTGAATCCCAGGGCACTGGGATCATGACTTGAGCTGAAGGCAGCCGCTTAACGACTGAGCCACCCAGGCACCCCCCACACAGCATTTTTAGAGAGTGAAATAGAACAGAAAAGAAGAAAAAAACACTAGAGTTTATAACATGTAATAATAATATGTCCTGTTTCGATGCACTTTTCTTTCTGTTCTTTGTTTGTGCATACTTGGTTATCATGTAGTGTGTGTGCTTGTGTGTGTGTTTTCTGTGGGGTCAGATACTCTGACCCCACAGAAATCAGTGATCTGACCCAGTCTCCAACCTCGTATCTCTCTCCCTTACCCCTTACTACTACTTTACCCTCCACCGCCATCCTCAATCCACTCCAGCCTCCTGGATATTCATCATGCCAAACTCTATCCCCAGATACCCACATAGCTCTCACTCACTCACCTTTTTCAGATCCTGTTTGAATGTCATCTTTAACACCAGAGTCTTCCCTCAACACCATATACAAAATAGGGGAGCCCAATAATGCCATTCACTATCCCCCTTATTCACCTTATAATGTCTTAATGATACTTATCTCTACTTGACATATATTTATGTTTATCTGTTTACTATTTTCCTTTCTCCACTCCAAATATAAGCTCCTCTGTTTTGACCAATGTTGTATCTGAAGTAAACACTTAATAAATGTACTGTCTTGTGCATTCTTTATTAGATTAACTCCTAGGTACTTTTGTTGATCTTGTGACTGATCTCTTACAACATTTACCCTTCCACCACATGAGGACACAGCAAGAAGTCCGCATTCTGCAACCTGGAAGAGGGTTGTCGCCAGAACTTGACCATGCTGGCACCCTGACCACGGACGTCCAGACTCCAGAACTGTGAGAAATTAATTTCTATTGTCCATAAGCAACCCATCGTATCCTGTTATAGCAGTCCAAACAGGCTAAGACATGTTTGTATTTATTCTTAGGATTTGAGAATTAGGCATTCTATCAACCATTTAAAAAAATGATATTTGTACTTCACTGAACTTGAAATATAGTCATGGTACTAATATTACTAAGTAAATACAATATATTTTAATATAGCAACACAAAAAATGATTACATAAATTATAGAGCCCTTGGTAGCAACTTTTAATATTTTGCCAAAGGGAAATATTGTATTTCATTGTAGATTATTTTTTTGTTCTACAGATCACATGTGCATACCCACCCCAGGAGAAAAAAACAATCAGTATTGCAACTAGTATAGCATGGAATTGTTTTAATTTTCCCTGGTAGTTTATAGCAGAAAATTGTTTTATTGTGAACAGCATATAGAATGTTGAGTAAGACCATCTTCATTGGGTCCCTGGGTGGCTCAGTTGTTAGGCATCTGCCTTCAGCTCAGGTCATGATCCCAGGGTTCTGGGATCAAGTCCCACATTGGGCTCCCTGCTTGGCCGGGAGTCTGCTTCTCCCTCTGCCCTCCCCACTTCTTGTGCTCTCTCTCACAAAAATGGAGAGGTAAAATTTTTTTAAAAAAAGAAAGACCATCTTTATCAACTTGAGCTCTATTTTACAAAAGGAATCTACCTAGAAGAAATACAGTGAAGCATAATAGCTTATGGTTTACTTATTTACTAGATAGGAAAAGAAGAAATTAATACTGAGTGGTTGCCTTCCATGTGCTCAATACACCTGTTCGTTGCTCTATATACATTATCTTATTTACTCTAAGAAGAATGTTCCTATATTATTTTTATTTTTTTAAGTTTCATTTATTTACATAATCTCTACACCCAACATGGGGCTCGAACTCATGACCCCGAGATCGAGTCCCGTGCTCTTCCGACCAAGCCAGGCAGGTGACCCAGATGTTCGTTCCTATGTTAAAGATAGTAATCGTCATCTCCTTTAAAGACAAAGAAATGAAGGCTCAGGGAGTTACAGTAAATAGCCCAAAGTCACACCAGCAGAAAATGACATTCAAGTCAAGAGCCAGGTATCATTTAATTAACAAATTAACAGACTCATTGCTGAGCAGGAAGCCTGACACAGGGCTCAATCCCAGGACCCTGGGATCATGACCTGGGCTGAAAGCAGAGGCTTAACCAACTGAGCCACCCAGGCACCCCTATTTTCCTGTTTTTAGAACATCTTATATAAGATAGAGATTTATTCCTTAAAAGTTTGGTAGAATTTGGAGTGTGGTCTCTTATTTCAATTTTTTTTATGGTAATTGATCTGTTAAATTTTCCAATTTAATTTTGTACTGATTTTTTTCATTGTATATTTTCATAAATTTATCTACTTTGTTTCTATGTTTTCAAATGTATTATTTAATAATCTGTTGTGTCTCCATTTTTTCTGCTTATTTCATCTGTCTGCTTTCCTTTTTTTAAAAGTTTTTATTGTTATGTTAATCACCATACGTCATTAGTTTTTTTGATGTAGTGTTCCATGATTCATTGTTTGTGCATAACACCCAGTTCTCCATGCAGAACGTGCCCTCTTTAATACCCATCACCACGAGGGAATGCCTGGGTGGCTCAGTTGGTTAATACCCATCACCAGGCTAACCCAACCCCCCATCCCCCCTCCCCTCTAGCAACCCTCAGTTTGTTTCCTGAGATTAAGAATTCCTCATATCAGTGAGGTCATATGATACATGTCTTTCTCTGATTGACTTATTTCGCTCTGTCTGTTCTTTTTTAGATTCATTACTGTCATTGCAGGTTTGTGTAACTTCTTAATCTATTCATTGAACCAGCTTTAGGTTTTATCTTCTCCATTGGTTTTGGGGTATGCTACTTCATTGACTTTAATCTTTTATTATTTCTATATTTCTTATTTCTTTTGCTTAAGCTGTCCTTCTTTTTAGCTCTTTGAATGGACTCCTTAGCCCACTTGTTTCCAATTTTTCTAAAATGTGTTTAAAATTGTGTGTATCCCCTTGAGTACTCTTCTGGTTGTGTCCCATAAATTTTGAATGAATTTTTTCATTGTGTTCCCTTATTTCTTTCACTATTTCCTCTTTAACCCCAAATGTATTTAGTACTATATTTCATTTTGGTTTCACTATTCAGAAAGAGAATTTTTAGCTCTCTTTTCATTTTTGATTTCTATTTTATCACATATGCTCAAAAAAGACAGATCTGTGCTTATCCAATATGGTAGCCAATAGCCATATGTGGATAGAGAACTTGAAATGTGCCTAATATGAATTGAGATGTGCTCTCAGTGTACAATACACATGGATTTTGACAACTCAGCACAAAAATGTAAAGTGTCTTATAAGTAAGTTTGATATTGATTAAAAGTTAAATATACTGGATATATTGGGTTAAATAAATATATTTATTTAATACATTTCACCTCTTTAAAAAGTTTTTAGGGC